CCTCCCACGACTACATCAATGACAAAGATAGAAGAATATTAATAAATTACTTAAATTTGCAGATGATATAAAGCTCTTGGATGTTGCTAGTTGTAAAGAGGATGCTGCTGATTTACAAAAGGATTTAGATCATTCAGTGAATTGGGCAAATAAATAGCAGATAGGTTTTAAATATAATAAATGCAAGATAATGCATGTGGGTTATCATAATATGAATTATAAGTATAATTTGAATGGGAATAACCTTAAAAGTGTTGTGAAGGAAAGGGGTCTTGGTGTAATAGTCGACCAGTCTCTAAAGAAATCCAAGCAAAGTGCTATTGCTAGTGGTAGAGCAAATAGGATTTTAGGTTCTATCTACAGAAATATTGAATACAAGTCTAAAGAGGTTATAATTTCATTGTACAGGTCACTGGTTAGGCCACATTTGGAATATTGTATTCAGTCTTGGGCTCCTTAGCTTAGGAAAGACATTGAATTGTTGGAAAGGGTTCAGAGAAGGGTTACTAAACTGGTGCCTAGGATGGAGGGGTTGTCATACGAGGAGAGGCTGAAATTTCTCAAATTGTTTTCTCTTGAGAAAAGAAGAGTTAAGGGGATCTGATTGAAGTGTTTAAGATAGTAAAGGGAATTTATGGTATTGATGCATCATCTTTTTTCATATTTAACAGTGAGAAAAGTAGGACTAGGGGACAAAATGTATATTTTGGCAAAGTAGGAGTTATTTTCAGCTAAGACAGTTTCATTTTTCTAACAGGGCGGTTGGCCTTTCGAATAGGTTGCCTTTGGATGTTGTAGAGTTTAAGAAAAAGCTTGATAACTATATGAATGATAAGAGCTGGTTTTGAGATTTTTTAAAATTATTTTAATTTAGTTTAAAGGTTGGAAGAGCCAAGATGGACCAATAGGTTGCATGTTGTCTCAAAACGTTATATTATGTTAATTGAAACTATTGTCTAAATTAAAAGGTGTCACGAAATATAACTTTTCTGATTACTGATTCAGTCCAGTGTGGTGATGTCGAAGGGTTATTTTGTTTTGACATTTCTTGTTTTGTTGATACCAAGATTGTATATATATATATGTATATATATGTTGAGGACTATTTTGTTGTATATCCATGCGTTTTACATTCTTACAATTAAAGGTTTCATTTTTATTATTTACCATAATAAAGTGTTAAAGGGCATTATGTACTGTAATTTGTTTTTCGTATTCTTCTAAGTTAAAGGACATTCTATAGTATGATTAAATATGTAATATGAATTTAAATAATATATTATTATTGTTAAAGGGTTTCATGTATTTATTTTGTTTTTGTATTCTTCTATGTTACAGGGTGTTCTGTAGTAAGATGAAATATATAATGTGAATTTAAATACTGTATTGTCATTGTTTGAGTGTTTCATGTGTAGTTTTCTTCTTTGTTAAAGGGCTGTGTTGTCTATGTTATTTACCAGAATGAGAGAAGGTTGTAATACTCCTTCACCAGTACATTGTAAATGTAACTGGTTTTAAAGTTAAAATTAATACTGGCCTGAAAACAAGCCTGAAACAGGAGGAGGAGAGGAAAAAGTGTGGTATGCAGGCATACTATGTATATTCTATCATCTTATTTTAATATAGAAATTTTCCAAAATTTAACATGTTGTTCAGAAAACTGTTAAGTCGACTTCGTTCTAGCAACTTTTGTTATTTTGTTTTAGCTCCACTCTGTTCATCTAGTTCGACTTATTAGTACCCTGATGTATTGCATCAATGGTCTCTTCCATCATGTCCATACATTCAAGTGTAGATAGCTACATACTTGCTTTTGACATGGTGAGACAGATTCAACTCTAGCATTACTGCTAGCCTCAGTTATTTCTACTTCGCTTACCATGCCAGTGATCATTCCAGTATATAGTTTAATAATTGATTATCTATAATCGCAAAACAACAGACAAATAACTACTTGAGCTAATGTTAATAGATTTATGGACAAGAAACAGTCTATTTCATAAATGGGCTCTATAGCCGCACTACATACCACGGATGTGCTAGATATTCTTACATGGCTCTGACACACTAGACAGTGTTCATAGTGATACCACAGAACAACACTTGTGTACACGAGAGTAACGTGACTTCCTCTCACATATACCCATGAAGTCCACTTTTTCCTGGGTCGATTTGACTGACATCAAATAACTTTGCTGTGGAACATCAGTTCGTCGGTTGCACAGGTGAAACTAACCAGTAAACTCCTCAGTTCAAATCTAAGGATGCCGATGCCAGGAACGATGTCGCTAACAGCTACCTTCATACCGTAAGAGAAATCTCCGAGATATAGTCAGAGCATGACCTCTCTCTATAGTATATTTCCATTTGCCAGAATGAATTTCATGTTGAATGGTCTGGGTAGTGGCTTTGCTTGGAGTGCTGTTATACTGTGAGATATGTCAGTGTTGTAACCTATTCTGTATCAGCCATAAACTTCATCTCCCTTCTCTGTACTCCTATTTGTTGCACTCCTTCACGTAAGTGGACAGGCTAGATTTGGATTCATCTAGTTTTACAAAGCTATTTTCCCTGTTGATTTGCAAATATAGGGGCAATTTATTTAAAAATGCCTAATGATTGAATGCAAAGCAATTCATTTGCCCCTCTCTTACAGGAAGACATCTTGATGGAGACACCAGTGTTCAGTCACTAGATATCAAAGTGGTTGCATTTCATTGCTATGATATGAGGGTGGTTATTTGATTCTTGCCCATATTCAAACCTGGCACAATGTGGGAGCCTGCATAGGATGGTCTATCCAATATGAAGTCACTGCAGCTGCTGTCACAGACTTCCCCCTTTTTGTGACTGACTCAAACTTACCATGTGTACCACATTGCAACAGAAGATACCTCAGTAAAAATGAAAACTATCACACCCATGTGATGTCATATTGTCGTATTTGGAAGCCTTTCCAAAAAGTAGTCAATGATGATATCTCGTGTTCCTATGAGGCCATCGCAGGATAAGTCTTATGATGCAAACAGTGTAGATAATTTATGTATGTGGTCAAGCTGGTACCCCTCTAAGGCCCTTGCATTTGGCCTGATGGTTTGCTTTTTTCCATCATTGTGAACCTCCAGCACAACTCAGAAATGATTGTCTTGCAGTCCCAAAGCTGCACCACATCTAAACTTAGGACCCAATGTTTTATAGCATATCTGCAGGCCTGCCATTCCAGCCAGTAACTTGCCTGAAACACTTCATAAAATAGTTCAAATCCTCCTTTGTTCTACCCTCGGATGTTGGTAGAGTGATTTATTTTGCCTCACTTATGGGGATCAAGATCATGACCAGATGTTTCCTTCGTGTGTCCCTTGTCATCACCTGACTAAAATGTCCTCAATGTAATATATATGGCATAGTAGGAGTTCTCAGTGACCCTTGCTCTTGGGTGAAAGAATAACGAGATTCACTTGTTGTCCATTGGTTCTACTTGCCCTGTGATTCACAGTTATCTTGGCAGTATACATTTCAGCTTCAGAATGCTCAACATTGCCCCATGATCCAATCATTTCACCATTCGGTGCCCACTGTTTTTCTGCTGGCAAACATGATCTACCAATGACAACTCCAGTTTTTCGTCATTGTTCTTGGGCAACTTTGACTAGAGCTATGATTGGATTAACCTGGCCTGATATAAATCTGGGGGTCCTGTGCAGACTGCCCCATCTAGTGATAGACTCACCAGATGCCACATCACTGTGATGATTCTTGGTCATGTGTGTTTCCCTTGCACTGAGGTCAATACTAGTGGGAAGAGTACAAACAGACATTTAGGTTGTGTCTTCTCGAGTTGTTGGTTCTAGCGAGAATGAGTCATGGATCTTCATAGCATCAGCAAAAGTCCTACATCTAAAAGAGGACTTCTCCCCGACCTGACAATTCTCTTGGACAACTATCTCCCCTCAGTGGCAGACTCTTTCTTTTGATTATAAGTCTTTCTAATAATGGAAAACGCCACTTCCTTAACCATAAAGTTTTTAAAACTTATATCATACAAGAAGAGGAATAAAGGGCAGCACACCTCTCAGCATAAAGAGTATGATAATCTCTGGTCTCATGACATCAAATTTTTTCCTTGTCAATCATTTTGTGGTATATTGAGGTAAAACTGAGTTAACCCTCAAATAACAAGATTTAACATTAAATACATGTATAAATATTGATTTTGTTTTGCGTTTAGATTTGACTTAAAGATCCTCCTTGAAGTTAATAACTACGAGGAATGTGCATAAAAACATCTGCAGGCAAACAAAACATGATTTTCGTATTACTTTTTAAAGTTACATCTGATTTGTTAAATCTACAAAAAAACTTATTTATTTTGTAATTAACATTATTTAACAGTTCTATTTTACCTGAAATTAAAACATTTGCATTAAAAATTTACATTTAGTTCTTATGAATATTTACACTATTAAATTATATATTTTTGTTCTTCTTCATACATTGTTCAGTTCATCATGACTAAGTAAACGACATATATTTTGGCTGATGCAACCAATCCTGCAGACCTCGTTACAGGACCTGTGCTATTTTGTAGTTTTACATCTGCTGAGATTTGGGAGTGAAATAATTTAATAAGTCGTCGTAATTTTTAAAATATTGTGTTAAGTTGTACCAATTTAATTATTATATTCGTCTGTTTTGAATTATTGGGTACAACTTACAGTTATATAAACAACATAATTTTTATCGCTCTTTACAATAAACGAAGCTGTTAGTAATACTAGTGTTAAGTGTTACTGTAATTGTAAACTTAAAGTGTAAGTGTTAGAAAACGGCGTAAAACTTTTATTATAACATTGATTGAATTAAAAACTGAAGATTACTAAATAAATAGTAGGTCTCAGGAGTAAGTAGTAAGTTTGGGCAATTAAAAATTCTACTACTTTTGAAGAAACGATTACAAAGCCTGAGTAAGTGAGTTGAAACTTGAAATATGGCAGATGATGAAGCAGTAAGTAACTATTAATATTATTATAGTATCAAAACTAGTAATAGTATACTAATAGTAATAGTATTACTGGTACTAGTAGCAGTGTAAGTTGTAATCCTTAGACCATAGAACATTAGAAGGCTTAGCAGTAATGACCAATGAAATTATTTTTATGATCTTTATCTCATAGCTATAACTTAGTTATTGCACAAAACAAAGAATCACCTAACAAGTAATAACAATTAAAGTGAAATTATGCCATATATATTTTTTACATTGAAATTAATAATTTTCTTTAACACTGGGCCCTTAATCTATGGATGGGTCCATAGATTTACCCCAAAACACCTAAAAAGCCAAAAAATGTTTATGAGTATGACTGACAGTGACAGTTGTGATCCTTTGCACTGCCAATATACTTTTATAAAAACTATTTAGCTTATGTTTTGGGGTAAACCTGTGGAGTGTGTCTGAAGTATGTAGTGAGATTATCCATGGCATTAGGCCCAGGAGCACTCCAAAAAACTGAAGTTTTCTTTGTTCACATTTATACATGAGTATCTATTTTTGACTCAAACAAAAAATAAATTTTCATTTTAATTTTATATTTTCAACTGAGTTTGGAAACAATCAGTCTGTACACATTAAATAAAATAGTTTTACATTTTATATAAGTTCCATTATGTAGATTAAATTTAAATGATGTTGGTTTTGAGAATGTGTGGCCCCAGTGTGACATGTTTGATTTTGTGCTTGGTTGCTTAGCATTTGTTTCATTGTTTCAGCTCATTGATTTTCATATAGATGAGTTTTATTATGAATTTGATCATTGATAAAGGTCATAATTTATAAAGTATATTTTAGGCCTGGGGGGTCCATGTTTGGTTAATCTAGCACTGCTGAAGCATGAAAATTAAAGTTTGAAATGTGTGTTTCTTATTTATATATTGGATAAATTAAGTATTACTGATCTACCCGGATCTTTATAACCTTTTTACATTCTCAGAAAGCATTTGGCTAAACATTTTCAAATATGCCCTTAACCATTATTCCATCAGAAGCTTTCATATAATAATGAAGGGTTGTCAGCTTCACTGTAGTAATAGAACAGAAACTTGAACCTTCACCCTATTACTACATCAGGGGTTTCATTAAATGCTGTGTGCCAGGTAAAACACCAGCCTGATATGGCTAATTACAAGCTTGTATACTCAGATACTTTCTTTTTTAATATTCTCTTTATTCCAGCATTTTTATTCTGGGAATTTGGTACCAGAATCACTCTTAACTGCAAGATTTTTGAGTGTCTCTTCACCTCAAAGTTATTTTGAAATCATTCTAAGCCAATTTTTAACATGCTCAAGCATACCAGAAATGGGGAAAGTATAATATATGGCATTCTATTATGTAGTCTCATCATATGGTCAGTAGTATGTGCACAGTGCCCATTTTCTGCTCATCCATGTGTAATGAAAGGTGATTGTACTGATACTGATAAGTCAGTAAATTGTACCTTGTACAAAAGAAAGAACATTTTTCCAGTTTACTGACTAATTTCTTCTACTTGAGAAGCATCATCAGTAACTGAAGGAACAAAATCACATTATTTTGCAAAAGGTGTTAGAAAACACTTCTAGTGCAATTAATATAAATCCATACATTTATTACTTTTTCATGCTGTAATTTGTTTACGGAGTTTGGAAACATAAGCTTGATATGGAGATTTGTAACATTAAGATTGTATTTGAAATCTTAATTTTATAACTATTTTTAATCTGGCAAAATTTATATTACTTTAAGATTTTTGACCCTACTATGAAAAAGAAGAAGAAAAAGAAGAGGACTCCTTTTGATCTTGGTAGTGGAATTGATGATGGCCCTACAACAGTTGATAATACTCCTGTTGAATTAAAGGTTGAAAATGGAGTTGAAAAAGAAGATCCAGACAAAGAAAACAAGGATAATGAAGATAGAGAAAATAAAGATGATGGTATGATATCTTCTTCTACTCCATATGTTTATTTCATTAACTATAAAATACTATGTTAAAATTAAAACTTATTTTTGCCTGTACAAAGAAACGTACTTTAAATGTTAATAAATTACTGACTAAATTACCCTGTTTTTCTACATGTACAGAAGTTTAACTGAATTGTTTAAACAGTGTTCTTGCAGAGGACACCTGTTCTACAACATTGTATATGAGGTCAGTGCTGCCTGTACTAGATAATTCTGTTTGCTGGTTCATGTGTAAGTGGATTGCAGCCAGTAGTATTTTGGGTTATTATGTCTTCACAGAGAGACATACTGTTTGTCTTTCTTCTTCATCCAAACATTTTCCAATCGCCTGCCATACTTTCATTTTTTGGAAGACTGACTTGAAACTTGATAGGGTTATACCTTGGTCCAATGTGTTCAGACTCCTTTCTCCTTTTTTTATTTAGGCCTTTTTAATCTTATTGAGATGGGTAGGGGTCAGAGGGCATGTCATCACATTTGTAGATTTACATTTAACATTTTATTTAGCTATTATTTTACAAATGTTTGTCAATAATTTTGGCATCAAGTTGTAGATTATAATTCAAATTTTAGTATTATACATTAGTTAGTTTCTTAATTTGAAAGTAAATATTTAAAAACAAAAATGTCTAAGTATCAATTTCTGTGTGTCGTTGTGCGTGGCCTTCTAGGTTTGGTCAAATTTTATTTTATGATGCCCACAATAAAATTTTTATAGTTTCGTACGAATTAGAATCTCAAATTTCCAATATTGGCAAGCTAGAATATAAAATAAGAACCTCCTACTTTTTCTATTTACTGAGATATGATATTTGGCGAACCCACCATATTGGCTCTGCCCACCACTTCATCATTTGAGAAGATTTGTTTATCTATGCCTACCTTTATATACCAGTAACTTTATAACCAATCCAAAGCTATATGTTTTTTCAACATAATTCTGTCACTCTTCCTAAGTTATTTATGAGAGGAAAGCTCTTATATCAATGGAAGGTTTGAAGTATTGCTATCAAGGCTATTTTGTGAATAGTTATTATATTTTTTTAGACAAATACAATTTAGTTAGGAAACCTGATAAATAACAGTGTATTTTTGGGGTATCGGTATAATTCATAATTTTTTGTATTTCAAAATGCTTATATAAAGTCTACAAAATTTATTATTTTTCCATCTCCACAAGCCCCCCAGTAGCACAGCGGTATGTCTCCGGACTTACAACGCTAGAAACCGGGTTTCAATACCCGTGGTGGGCAGAGCACAGATAGCCTTTGTGTAGCTTTGTGCATAATTAAAAACAAACAAACAAACCATCTCCACATGTGAATTTGGATGAGGCTTAGCAAGTACAGTTCATGCGTGCAAACAAGGACTTCATAGCATCATAAGTAATAGAGATTATTGTTTTCCGAATATTTTGTATTTACTGTTCTATGTTTGAAGAAAAACATCGTTTGTCAGTCCATTTTACAGCTGGTAAAGTTCCACATCTTAAAAAACGTGCTTCTCCCTTGGTTAAGTTTATAACTGCCAGTTCCTGTGGGAAATACAATCTGTCTTTCCTACATGTCTTACGAGCATAGGTTCCAACAGACAATAATTTGTCAAATAAATGAGGGGAAGTGTAAAAATTGTCCATGAAAACCCAGTGTCCTAGTCTGTTGTACTTGTCCATCAGTTCCATCACAATGTTGTCTGCAAGACCCCTAGCTGGCATTTGTCCCTTTTTGCATGTGTAGATTTAAAGTTTAAGACAGTATCCACTTCTGCCAGGACCCTCAACTTTATACCCCACTTGATAGGTTTCTTGGATATGTACTGAAGGCAACCAACTCCACATTTTGTGCCTAACATTTGCTCATCTCTAGATAGTTCTCTGTTAGGAGAATAGTGAGAAACAAAGGTCTACTACAGGTCTTACTTTGAAAAGTTTATCATAGTTAGGATCAGTTTTAGGTAAAGCATTAGAATTGTTATTGAAATGTAAGTTTCTATGAATAGCAAAAAACCTGTCCCTAGATAAGATATTAGTAAACCCAGGAGTATGAAAAAGAGGATAAGAAGACTAGTAGTCAGAAAGAGAAGGAAGAGGCTTGAGACCCATAGCTATAGCGAGACCAAAGTAGGCTAAAATTCAATATTAACATTAGTCCATTTCACTTTCGTTGTCTCTAGCATACCTATTTGTCTCATTGATGATAAATTGTATAATTTCTTACGTGAAATAAAAGTTTTAAAAAATCAACAGAATATAGCAGAGGCAACCTGACGGTAAACAGGTTCACCTCTGATAAACGTAGATTGCTTGTTTACTTCTTCAACAATTTCTCTCCACCTCCATGTATTGAAAAAAAGAGAGGCCTTTCCTGCTCGGAAGAAACAGCTCCAGTAAAGGCTCTAGCTCTTACCCCTCCCTCTTCTCCCTGGCCTGACTCTTTTTGGTGATGAAAGCTCTTCAGGACCATCTTCCCTTAGTGAACTTGCACCAGCTACATCTTGATCTGTTCACAAGACAGTATCAAGAAGAGCTGGTTTCATATTTTTTGGCCATTGACTATTATGAATAACTTCTGTCAGAGGCATTACAAGAGAAGAATCAACTTCAGATGCCTCTGGCAGGCCTCTTTTATCAGAAGAAAATGAAATATTAAGGAGGAACTAAATTTCCTCCTGTGTCAGGACCTTCTTCCTCAGTTTTTTTGCTTTTTCTTAAAGTTTCTGTTCTGTTTGATATGGTAACATGAGCTGCATGTGTGCCGTGTCATTTTCAACTGGCATTGGGGTATTTTTAGTCAGACACTGTTCAAAGGTCAATAAAACGTAAATTAATATATATATAAATAGATTTATATGGTTATGAGATTTGAGCTATTTAGAATAACATTTGTGGTTTCCTGTTACAATTTGCAATTATTCTAGAAGAAAAAAAAGTAATTTAAATTTATTTCCTCACTTTTATGAAGGTTACGAGATTGGTCATATCAATCAACACCATATAGTGTTAGTATTGATAAAATAACACATTAAATATAAGTTTTATGCAAAAACATTTGATTATCTAGAAGGATACAGAGATTATGCAAATGAAACTTCACAACTTTCAGATAAAGAAAAGTATTTTTAATCTTGAAATCAAAATTACTTTGCATGTTGGATAGTCAACATTCTGAAAGAAAAAAATTTCACAAGAAAATCTTTAATTAAAAAATCTTAATATTTAATTTTAAAACCTGATATTTTGTGTGTATGAAGACCTTGTAATGATTACCAATAACCTCTGAAAGTTTGTGAAGATACATTTACATTATCAAAAATTATAGTATAATTATTTTCAATGATACTTTCGTGGTCACGAGCTAGGTGGATTCAACCCAGCTCATAATGGAAGGCCATGGGTCAAAGGCCATGTCATTGCATTTGTTGACTCGCATTCAAAATTTTATTGAATTACTGTTTTATGAATTTATATCAATAAATTTGGTATCAAACTCAAACTGTAGATTGTAATTCAAATTTTAGTATTATACATTATTTGATCACTTAATTTCAAAATAAATATAAAAAAGCACACCTAAACATAGATTTTTGTGTGTTGTGATATGTTGAATGCAATATTGATTCAAATTAGATGTTTATGATGTCAAAATACAAAGTCTGTAGTTTCATACAAATTAGGAACTCAAATTACCAATATTAATAATCTAGAGTATAAAATAAGAACCTCATATCTTTTCTATTCTCTGAGATATCGTTCATGTCCTGAATCGAACACGGTGGCCCCGCTCACACGTGAATAACCAAACAAAAGCTCAGAATGTCCCCCTAGTGGCTTTCTCAGCCATTTTCAAGTATTGCTACATCATCTCATTTATTCAATACAAATCTTCATGCTAGTACGGTGAGTCTTTAGTCTGCTCCAAATTTCATATTTTTTCAGACTCAAATACACCTTAATTACTAAACTTGATAAATTATGGTAGAATTCTATGATATCGATATAGTAATTTATGGTTATTTGAAATGTATATGTAAAACCTAAATAAAAATATTTCTTTTTGCATCCTCCATGTACAAAATTTTATAAGGCTTAGCGACCTACAACAAGCAGCAAACAAGTATGAAGGTTATAATTGAAGAGATTATTGTTTGTTTTACTTCTTTATTTACTGTTCTATGTTTAAGAAAAATAAATTTAAGAAC